GACCAGGCACCCCGCCCCAACCCCGCCCTGCCGGCCGCGACCCACCTTCCGCGTGCAGTGCTCACACTTCATCTGGAGTAGGGCGGGCGGGAGGCAAGAACGCCTCAGCTGAGGAGCGCACCAAGACTCTAACAACTGCTACCCGCCCCGTTGCCCGCCGCCCTTTGTTGTTTTCGCTCTGGCGCGGCCCCACCCCAACGGTCGAGCTCAGCCAATGGGAGTGCTTAGACAGGGAGAACCACACCCTTAGGCCAATAAGAAGCCCGGTGCGACAGGTGAGGCCCCACCCCCTACGGTTCTGCTTAGGCCAATGAGAGCCCCACAAAGGGGTGGGCCCGGACCCTGAGCCACTCAGGGCAAGCTGGGCGGATTTTACCGCTCCAGTCCGACGTTCCCAGGATCCGGGTAGTCGGTTTCTGTTTTTCGAGTTTCCCACAGTATGTTCCGCAAAGGAACGTGAGGAAGGGAGAGGGAGTAGGCAGCCCGGAGGAGGTCAGTTCGGGGCTGTTGGCTCAGAGGCTGCGTCCGGACTCTCCATCAGCTCGGCGTCGGACGCTAGCCTTTTCTGCGGCTCCACGGGGGCGAGCCTGGCGCCACCCTCACCGGACGCCATGACCAACACGCGGCCTGTCACGTAGGCCCGGCGAAGTGGCAGTGCGCCTGCGCGGCTTCGGAGCGTGGGCTCAGCTGATGCGAGTAAAAGTTCTGGCTTTAGGAGCGTTGTTCTTCCAAGAAACTGATTCCGGCTAAGCAGGACTTTCTTATGTGAAGTGCTGTAACGGAGACGTGAAACTGAGAGGTTGAAATGGAACTTTAAAAATTAGGAAGAATTTTGTTTTTGGAGACTGGGTGTCACTACGTAGTTCATATCGGCCTTGAACCCCGTGTATAGGCCCAGGCTGACCCCGAGGTTGAGGCGATACTCGGCCACAGCCTCCCCCGCCCCAGCGCTGGGATCATAGGTGTGCGCCATCAAATCTGGAGTGGAGTTTTAAAGCCAAGCTGCAGGTCCCCCTCCGCTTGCTGAGAGCCAGGGAGGTCAGTGGAACCTGGCGTTCCGTTTCTTGGGCTATGCACGCGTAGTAGTGGAAGAGCTCAGTGCCCACCAGGGGAGGCCCAGCCTGACCAAAGTGTGAATAAACTAATTTTCTCACTTTTAGGACGTTTCTCACTCTTGATGGCATTCTGGCAAATGAATCCAGATTGTCTGCCAGATTGTCACCACAGTATTTAACGACCATTGGGGACTAGCGCCCTCTGACGGAGTCGTTTGATATGACGCTCCCAAGAGCTTTTACCTATTAGGTCCTAGAGGAAGGGAATAATGACAGTCTGGTCCTTTAAAGCCTTGTAGGTAGGCATGGTGGCACACCCCTGATTCCAGTAGTCAGGAAGACTGAGGCAGGAGGATCTCCAGTTCAAGCCCAGCCTGCACAGTTTAGCAATTTTGTGAGAGCTTATCTTAAAATGAAAAAAAAATTGAGACATTCCTGGGCAACTCCTGAGTATAGACATATTTCTCTTGGGGGTCAGTGTACTCTGCTCAGTCTTGAGCCTCTTCCTGGGGAGGTCCTGTTTCCACGAGGGAAAGGAGCTTAAGGGGGAGGTGATATTTCCTCTCTGTTCCTAGATCCTTCTGTTTGGCAGCAGCTGGGGCCAGGCCTATCCGTTGCCCCGCTGTGGTTCTGTGGGCAGCTCTTTGGTCAAAATATGAAAGTCACTTTAGCTGCAAAGTGTGCTATCCTGGGTTCCAGATTGAAAGCCTCAGGCGCAGTGAAAAGCAGAATTCCTAGTCTCCCTAATCTTTGTCCCTCAGTGTTACTCCCACAACTCTACTGCTATACATATATTTACAATCTGATTAAGGTCCCTAATTAGCTGACCTTCAAATAAGGAGGTTATCTGGGTGGGCCTGACCTAATCCACATGAGCTCAATAAAAGCAGACCATCTTTGGCAGCAAAAAGCAAATCAGAAATTCTAAGCATGAGAATGTGCTGCACCTAAAGAATGGGTGGGGTAGATGTGGTGGCTTACACCTGTAACCCTAGCCCTTGGGAGGCTGACACAGGAGAACTGCTGCAAGTTTGAGGCCAGCCTAGGCTACATAGTAGGTTCAGGGTTAGCCTGAACTACACAGTGAAACTCTGTCTCAAAAGGAAGAAAGATGCAGGACTTGCAGGGTGGCCGTGTGGAAAGGCTTTGAGAGCTATCTCTAGGAGCTCTAAGGTACCCTCTGCCAAGCAGCTAGCAAGAACCCCATTCCTACCACACAGGAACGTGGATCTGAGAACCCAAGTAAACCTGAAGTGGATTCTTCCCGAGGCCTCAGGTGGGAGCTCAGACAGGCCAATACCTGGATTTTGGCCTTGGGACATCCTAAGCAAAGACTCCGTGGAGGCTGCCCCCAACTTCTAGTCCACAGAACTGGGAGCTCTTTGGTGGGTGTTGTTTTAAGCTGCTAAATCTGTAATAACTTGTTATGCAGCAGAAATATCTAAAGCAGATGCCTGCACAATGAAGTTTCTACAGCATGTCTGTTGACCCCAAGGGAGGAGTGCGGCGTTTGTATCTCACCCTCATCCTGCACTCTGGCTGTGCCTGGGTTCCCCACAGAGGCAGCAAAGTTGCATCAAATCCATCACTGCCAGAAACTGCTGATCAGGCCAGAGGCCCAAATCTGCAAAAACTAGTTATAGATAGACTAGTCACAGGGGAGCAGCCCAGCCTCTTAGGCCTAACCATACAGGTTTCTTAGATGCTTGCTTATCTGCTTTCATTTTTTTTTTTTTTTTTTTTTTTTGAGACAGGGTCTTGTTAGTTCAGCCTGGCCTTGAGCTCACTACGTAGCCAAGGCTGGCCTCCAACTCACGGTGATTCTCCTCTCTCAGCTTCTTGAGTACTGGGATTACAGGTGTGTACAACCACGCACCCCTGCCTTGTCCTATATTTCTGCCCAGTTCTGAAATTACTGGACATTCTAATACTTGGCAAAAGCAAAATATTTTCTAGCAAATTTCTTAGGCAGGACTTCCTAACTGAAGACCCAGATTACTTTAAAATAGTTCCATAAGACTCAGAATGAATTGTTCTCATTTGGTTCCCTGACTTAATGTTTTGATTTCATCCTGTGGCAGAGATAGTCGTCTGCCAAAATCCCTCATCCTTTTAGTACACTACATTTCCCAGCTGCACCTGCAACTAGGGTGGTCATGTGACATTTTCCCACCAATAGACTGTGAGTCCAAGAGAGCCTACTCCTTGAGCAAAGGCCAGAAGCAGCAAGTGTGCCTCACCCATACTCTCATTCCTCTTCTGGCAACAGGTAGGTGACAGTGAGATCTGAGGGAAAGGAGCCCAAGAAAAACAGAGCCTGGGTCCCTAAGTCACCATGTGGAGGAAAATCGCTGGCCAATCATGAACAACGGCCTTTGTTGTAGTATGAAAAATAAATTCTATTGTATATTTGGGGGTTATCTGTCATTGCCTCCTAGGCTGCCCTTCCTAAGACACATCCCTCTGCTTTGTCTTCTACCTAAATCAAGTTGCACGAGATGCTGACAAAGCTTCTGGGATAAAACCTCCAACTCACCATGTATTTCACATATAGGAAGGGCTACATCTTTGGTCATGATTGTTAAGTTGCTTGTTGGGCACCTCCTATGTGCTAGAAAATGCTGTTACATCTTTTTTGTTTGTTTGTTTTGAGACAGAGTCTCACTATATAGTAAAGGCTGGCCTCGAACTCTCAGCAATCCTTCTGCCTCAGCCTGCCGAGTGCTGGGACTATAGGTGTGCAATGCCACAACCAGCTCCTTGTACTATTAACTAGGAGAGAAAGGAGTAGTGTATCCAAGTACAAAAAAGAAAATTTGCTGATTAGGAAGTAATGACTCCTGTCACTAATTTCTTTCTCAGGAACTAATCATTAAGACCCAGGGGGGAGGAGAACAAAAGGATGTTTTCCCCAAGGCCAGAAGGTGACTTTCTTTTTTCTTTTGGTACTAGGGATCAAACTCCTGTCCTTGCGCTTGCAAGGCAGGCAGTGGAACCTCTGAGCTAAATTGCCAGCCCAAGAGTGACTTTTTTCCCCAGAAGAGCTCTAACCCCTCAGGTGGCTTCAGTCAAAGGTGTCATCTACAGCAAGGCTAGCTGGAGACTAATACATTGCTCAGCTATAGCACCTGTTAGTTGATTTTAAAAAAAATTTATCCCATTCCTTCCTCAAGCCCTGTTAGCTGATTTCTAAAAGCAAATGAAGCTAGAAAATTTATTTAGCTTATCGCTTAGTTACAATTTCAGAACCATTTTGTTGTAGCTCAGAACACTGATTCTAAAGTGTGACTCCCAAAGCTAGGCGTGCTGGTACATGCCTGAAATTCCAGTACTAGGGAGGCAGGGGCATGAGGATCACTGAGAGTTTGAAGCCAGCCTGGGCCACATAGCGAGACCCTGTCTCAAAAGAAAAAAAAAATGTGACTGCCAGACCAGGAGGAAGTTGTTACCACCTGAATTCTCGGGCCCCACCCAGACCCACTGAATGAGAAACACTGGGAACAGGCTCCCAGTCTGTGTTTTAACATACCCTCTGGGTGACCTGACCCATGCTCAGGTTTGAGAACTACAGGCATGGAGATCTCAAAGAGGCTGAGAAAGTAGTAAGGTTATCTCTGAAGCTTTTCTTTAGTGTCAGAGATGGAACACAGCCTTGTGCCTGCCAGGCAGGTGCACCTCCAGCCCTCTGAATTTCCTCACAATGCACCTATACGGTTAAAACTTGTAGCTATGCATGCTGGTATATATGAATACACACACAGGTGTACGTGTGCTGGTACATATTTTTTGTTTGTTTGTTTTTTGTTTTTTTGAGACAGGGTCTCACTATGTAGTTGAGACTGACCTGGAACTCACTATGTAGCCCAGGCTGTTGGTACATAGGAACCAGTGCGAGGCAAGTACTCTGTTACCGAGCTACATATCGCCAGCTCTTTACACTTTTTTTTTTTTTTTTTTTTTTTGTAAGACAGGGTCTTGGTAAATAGCCCAGGCTGCCTAGAATTTGCCATCCTTCTGATTCGGTCTCCGGAGTAGCTGGGATTACAAGCCTACACAACCACGCCCAGCATACTTACATTTTAAAAAGGGAAACATTATGCACAGTCTTGCTAATATCCAGTTAAATTATGAAATACACACTAATAGATTGAAAAAACCAGAAATGACAGCTCCAGCAACCAGCACTGCATTGACCACTTCTGCCTCCAAGGCCTCTTTGGTGGGCGCTGCTGGAGCAACTACCAGGACGGCGTTGTCCACGCTCTTCGCCGCAGCTCTTCCGGGTTTACCCTAACCTTTCCGGTCACAGAGGTATCGCCCTGAAGGCCGGCGCGCTGCTCCCGCCTCCTCGTGCTGCGCCTCCGGTGGACCGCACTGCGAGTCTCCAGCGGGGTAGTCCGCAGGACTCAACCCAAACCTGAGTCGGCGCGGCCCCGCCCCACTTCCGGGTGTCCGCGCCGCCACGCCCCCTACCCCAGAAGTCAGTGCGGCTCATCGCCAAACCCGGAAGTCTGCGCGGCCGTTCCCGCCCTACCCCGGCCCTAACGGACCTGGTCCCTCGGCGACGGTGCAGGTGCTGACATCCGGGGAACGTCCAGCCCCGCGCCCGCTCCCGCCCGTCTGCGCAGGTGGCTGCCTGTCTTCCCGGGACGCTTGGCCGCCGAGGGCTGAACACACCCGGCCAGCCGTGTGTGTGCACGGGTGCGTGTGTGCAGTGCTGTGTGCAGGGCCGGGGCGTTCGTGGAGCTGTCAGCGACGGGCAGAGGGACACAGTCGTGGCTCTAGGATTCATTCCTGAGGTTCTGAATCGCCACTTAGCGTGGGGTGACCTTGGAGCCCTCCGTGCGCGGTCTCTGGGAGTCAATCTGCGGCTTGGCAGCTATCCCCACCCCGGCCGCCCAGTCACTGGTTTGGGCTCGGGGGCGTCTACTGCTTCTGTGGCGGGGGGGGCGGGGCGGGGCGA